ACTGTCTGGGAAAATAGAAGGCAGGCGTCCCGACAGACGCCCATCAGGAGCTCCGAGTGAGGAGCTGATAGGACGCTAACTCTTCCCTGTTAGGTGTGCATGCCCAGCAGGTTTTAAACGTGGTCTGAACAAGCGTTGGGGGCGTGTGGAGAAAAGGGAACACCTGTGTGCTGCACGTGCGGATGCTAAACGGTACATCCCGAGGAGAGCTGCACGCAGCTTCCTCAAAAGACTGAAAGTAGAACCACATGATCCAGGAATCCCACTTCTGGATACCTGTTCAAAAGAATTGAAAGTAGAATCTCAAAGATATTTGCATACCCAGGCTCAAGGCAACGTGATTCACAACAGCCAAGTGGCGCAAGGAATCAAACGTCCATCCGCAGATGACAAAGTCTCTCCATGCAGTGGAGTGCCATTCAGACTTACAAAGAAGGAAATTCTGACACAGCCTCCAAGACAGATAAACCTTGAAGACATCAGGCCCAGGGAAATGAGCCAGACACAAAGAGCCATGTACTATATGATCCCACTACTACGAGCTGCCAAAGTCATGGAGACAGAGTGTAGCGTGGAGGCTGGGGGATGTTAAAGTTTACCGGGGACTGAGCTTCAGTTTGGGGAGATGGGGAAGTCTGGAGGAGGGGGGAGGGATGGGAGCCCAGAACTGAGAATGCACTGGATGCCACAGTGCTGCAGATTCGAAAGTGGTTGATGTTCAATTTTAGGTTGTGTGAAAGTGAAAGTCACATGGTCGCGTCCAACTCTCTTCAACCCCCTGGACTATACAGTCCATGGAATTCTCTAGGCCAGAATACTGGAGTGGGTAGCCTTTCCCTTCTTCAGGGATCTTCCCAACCCAGGGATCGAACCCAGGTCTCCCGCATTGCAAGCGGATTCTTTACTGGCTGAGCCAGTTGTGCATTTTACCACAATTTAAAAAAAAAAAAGAAGAACAATCCATTTTGCAGGAAAGGGAATGGGCCCTCTTCCCAGCCCCCAGCTCCCAGCCCCCAGCTCCCAGCCCCCAGCTCCCAGCCCCGCTTGACCCTTGCGACGCCCCGGCGCTGTCAGGGCCAATGGGCAGCTCTGGACACCCGGGTGGGTGAGCCCCATGCACCCCATCCCTCGGGGGTTACTTCCAGGAGGCCAGGCAGACAAGACTAGCCTCAGAAACAAAACAGCCAAGACACTGAGAAAGTGGCAGGAACACACACTCTGCCAACAACTGGATTCGAGAGCTCGTGCAACGTGAACGTGGGAAGAACAGTGTCGGCCTGCGGGAGACCAGGGCTGGAAGACAGGACGGAGCCCCCGGGGCTCAGGGCCAAGTGCGGGGGTGTGGCGAGCCGGCAGGAGGCAGCGTGCGAGCCGGGCCGGGGCCCCCTGGTTCGCCCGCATTTGGTGAGACGCCCGCCGCGGCAGCCCCGGCGCGGCAGACGGTGGCCGTTTCTTTCCTGTGCTGAGTGCACCTATCATTACCAGTGCTCAAGGATGTGCTAAATAACATTGACCACACTCACCGAACTGCACGTGAGAGCCCCAGAAGTGGTCCCTCTTAGCTCTGGGATCTCTTTGTAAAGCAGTTCTTAAAAAAAAATAGAAAATAAGGCAGTTCTTGGGGTTTTCAGACCGAGAGGCAGGAGGGACGCCTCCTTTTGTGGCGCAACAGCGCCGCCTCATGGACGAAGCTCATATGACACACGCTTCCCAAAGGCCTCGGCGGGGAGCTTCCCGCCTTCCTGGGACCTGACGGTGCGCCGTTTCCAGGGGGTCCAGAGAAGATGACGACGCCCTTTTTGCAAGTCAAATATGGCGGGCAGAAATCGGAATCTCATATCGCCTCCACTTTGCTCTTAAGATTGAAAAGTCTTTGGGGCACTTGAATTTGAGATGAGGGGCTGATCACCAGCTTAGCAGAATCCCTGGAAATGCCCACCGAACAATGTGTGATCCAACTGGTGGGGACAAGCAAAGGAAACCTCATCAAAGGCAGCAGGATGACACTATGCAAAGGAAAGTGCCTTGTTTGTTATCACCCGGCCGGGCAGGCCTGAAGCTCTAAGATAGCCCGCAAGCACTGGGCTGGACTTCCCTGTGGCTCAGTGGCCTGACAATGCAGAAGACACGGGTTCCGTCCCTGAGTGGGGAAGATCCCCTGGAGGGGGGCTTGGCAACCCACTCCAGTATCCTTGCCTGGAGAATCCCATGGACAGAGGAGCCTGGGGGGCTACAGTCCACAGGGTCGCCAAGAGTCAGACAAGAGTGCAGAGCACTCAAGCACCCATGACATCTGCTAGGTGTGCGATGGCTTTAAAAAAAGGACAGACTTACTCTAAAAACAGCGTTGCTGGAAAATGAGTATCAATAGGCTTGCTGGACACAGAGTTGCCACAAACTTTCAACTAGTACAAAACACAATATTTGCAAAGCACAATAAAACAAGGTCTGTGAGTCCTGTAGATTAGACTCTGTCCCCAAAATAGTGCTTCTCAAGCACTGACATGCCCTGAATCCTTTGTGTGTGTATGTGTGGGGGGAATGGTGTGCCATCAGCTCAGACCCTGACATGGCTTTCCGTGCCTGGCGCCGATTCTGCTGGGCCACAGACCATACTTCAAGTAGCAAGGTTCTAAGCTGCACCTGTGGATGGGGGTCAGCCCTGAGGTAGCCCTGCCCCCAGCTTGTATGTTGTGTCATTATTTAGTGATGAGTGGCTCAGGAAAAGGGGCTCTCTGAGAGCCTCAAATTCTTCAACCACTGAGAACTCTTCCTGCAATCACTTCAAGTATCAGAGATTTCAAAGTAAAGTCTGTTTACACTAATTATCTTAATCAGTTCAGTTCAGTCGCTCAGTCGTGTCTGACTCTTTGCGATCCCATGGACTGCAGCCTCCCTGTCCATCACCAACTCCCAGAGTTTGCTCAAACTAATGTCCATCGAGTTGGTGATGCCATCCAACCATTTCATCCTCTATTGTCCCCTTCTCTTCCTGCCTCCAATCTTTCCCAGCAGCAGGGTCTTTTCCAGTGAGTCAGTTCTTTGAATCAGGTGACCAGAGGATTGGAGTTTCAGCTTCAGGATCAGTCCTTCCAATGAATATTCAGGACTGATTTCCTTTAGGATGGACTGGTTGGATCTCCTTGCTGTACAAGGGACTCCCAAGAGTCTTCTCCAACACCACAGTTCAAGAGCATCAAGTCTTCAGCGCTCAACTTTCTTTATAGTCCAACTCTCGCATCCATACATGACTACTGGAAAAACCAGAGCTTTGACTAGATGAGCATTTGTCAGCAAAATAATATCTCTGCTTTTTAATATGCTGTCTAGATTGGTCATAGCTTTTCTTCCAAGGAACAAGCATCTTTTAATTTCATGGCTGCAGCCACTATCTGAAGTGATTTTGGAGCCCAAGAAAATAAAATCAGTCACTGTTTCCATTGTTTTCCATCTGTTTGCCATGAAGTGGTGAGACCAGATGCCATTTTAAATCTCCATATTTTGAATGCTGAGTTTTAAGCCAGCTTTTTCACTCTCCTCTTTCACTTTCATCAAGAGGCTCTTTAGTTCCTCTTCACTTTCTGCCGTAAGGGTGGTGTCATCTGCATATCTGAGGTTATTGATATTTCTCCCGGCAATCTTGATTCCAACTTGTGCTTCATCCAGCCCAGTATTTCGAATGATGTACTCTGCATAGAAGTTACATAAGCAGGGTGACACTATACAGCCTTGACATACTCCTTTCCCAATTTGGAACCAGTCTGTTGTTCCATGTCCGGTTCTAACTGTTGCTTCCTGACCTGCATACAGATTTCTCAGGAGGCAGATAAGGTGCTCTAGTATTCCCATCTCTTGAAGAATTTTCCACAGTTTATTGTGATCCACACCATCATGGGCTTTGGCATAGTCAATGAAGCAGAGTAGATGTTTTTCTGAAATTCTCTTGCTTTATCTACGATCTAACAGATGTTGGCAATTTTATATGTGGTTCCTCTGTCTTTTCTAAATCCATCTTGAACATCTGGAAGTTTACAGTTTATGTACTGTTGAAGCCTGGCCTGGAGAATTTTGAGCGTTACTTTTCTGGCACCTGAAATGACTGCAACTGTGCACTAGTTTGAGCATTCTTTGGCATTGCCTTTCTTTGGGATTGGAATGAAAACTGACCTTTTCCAGTCCTGTGGCCACTGCTGAGTTTTCCAAATTTGCTGGCATATTGAGTGCAGCACTTTCACAGCATCATCTTTCAGGATTTGAAATAGCTCAATTGGAGTTCCATCACCTCCACTAGCTTTGTTCGTAGCAATGCTTCCTAAGGCCCACTTGACTTAACATTCCAGGATGTCTGGCTCTAGGTGAGTGATCATACCATCATGATTATCTGGGTCATGAAGATCTTTTTTGTACAGTTCTTCTGTGTATTCTTGCCACCTCTTCTTAATATCTTCTGCTTCTGTTAGGTCCATAGCATTTCTGTCCTTTATTGAGCCCATCTTTTCATGAAAGTTTGCCTTGGCATCTCTAATTTTCTTGAAGAGAGCTCTAGTCTCTCCCATTCTATTGTTTTCCTCTGTTTCTCTGCACTGACCACTGAGGAAGGCTTTCTGATCTCTCCTTGCTATTCTTTGGAACCCTGCATTTAGATGGGGATATCTTTGGTTTTCTCTGTTGCCTTTAGCTTCTCTTCTTTTCTTAGCTTTCTGTAAGGCCTCCTCAGACAGCCACTTTGCCTTTTTGCATTTCTCCCTCTTGGGGATGGTTTTGATCACCACCTCCTATACAGTGTCAGGAGCCTTGTGAATGAGGCGGGGTGGATGCATGACTCCAGCCTCACAGCTGAGGGGACTGGGCAGAACGTCTCCGCCCCTCCCCGAAGCTCAGCGGCTGGGATCCTAACCCCCAGTGTGATGGAATTAGGAGGGGGGGCCTTTGGGGGGCCATCAGGGCGGAGCCTGGAGGCCTGGGATGGGATCTGTGCCCTTAAAGGAGAGACGCCTCACCGTGTGAGGACGCGGAGTGAAAGCCAGCGTCTCTGAGGAAGCCGTCCCTCCGAGACGCGTGACCTGCGGGCCCCAGCTCGGACGCCCGGCCTCCTGACGCGAGAGCGGAGGTCGTGGTCCAAGCGCCTCGCCTGCAGCCTGCGTTACCGCGGCCCAGGTGGACTGAGACAGCCGTCCTAGGCCTTGCTGAAACCGCGGGCCCACTCCTCTTGGCTAAACGCCCAGACGCGGAGCAGCGGGCCACGCGCAGGTGTTTCTCGCTGATGCGAAGCTGCCCGTCTGCCAGGGCGCCGCTCCCGCTCCCCCGAGCAGGACCAGCGCTCCGGGCGCCCGCATTCTCCCGCACTCGGCACCTCTGATTTTGGTTCTCTACCCGTTCTACTAGGTGCGTTGTGGCAACTCGCCCTGGCTTTAATGACTCCAGTGGCTAATCATGTGCTTGTTTGCATTCTGTGTATCTTCTTGGGTGAAATGCCAGTTCTGACCTTGGGCCCAATTTTTATGAGGCTGTTTGTTTTCTTATTTTTGAGTTGACATGGAAACGGACTTGCTGCGTTTCCTATCTGTGTGCACCTCCTTCTGGGTCCTCTGTTCCACTTCATTAATCTACCTGCCTATTCCCAGCCCAGGGCCACACAGTTTTATTACTGTAACTGTTTTATTACCATAAGGATGCATTTCATTCATGTAAGACAAGTCTTCCTTTATTATTCTTTTCAAAATACTCCCAGTAATTTTCAAATTTTTATTGCCAGATGAACTTTAGAACAATTTTGTCAACTTCTCCCCAAATTCTGTTGTTTACCTGAAATGATACTGAATTACATAAAATAATTTAGGGAAAATGACCCTTTATACTACTGTCTTCCAACCCAAGAAAAGACGGGTCTTTCCCTTTGGTAAGACCTTCCCTTGTGTCCGACAGCTTGGATTGTTTTTATTTTTTCAGATATTTGTATTTAGTCTGTTTTCACATTCTGCATGACCAGAGTCAGGGATAAAATCAGAAGTGAAAACAGGACACTTCTTGGCAGAACTCTGGTTCAGTTCCAAAGTGGACAGGCTGGAGGCAGGACAAGACAATGCTGGTTTTTACATCTGTCCTATTTTAGCTATTTGTAAAACCTTCGCTTTAAATCTCAGGATTAGAAAAGCAAACAGCTGCAGGCAGAGTTAGGCTCCATCTCTCTCTGCAGCCCATAACTCTCCACGGTGAATGAAGCGCCCTCAGTTCAGGCCCCACTCGAGGGAGAGCCGAGCTGGCCGAGGCTTCCGGAGCAGACCGCGTGGCCGCTCAGACCAGCAGTGGCCACGCCCCAGACACGCCTGTGGCACAAGAAGGCCACTTTCTGGTCTTCAGCCGAAGCACAGCCCACGTGAACACTTGTCTTTTTCTTTTGAAAGGAGTGGTGTAGGCTGATGCACAGAAGAATTCTTGAGAATAAGGATGCCATTCTCGAGCCTGCCTGCCAAGTATCTGAACTCACTCCCTCTCCGTGATCAACTGATCATAGCGATCAATGCCATTCCCAGATCTGACGCCCCTGGTATAACCCTCACCTCATTTTTGAGAGACCTGTTTTTATCATCGTATCCCCTATGGTTTCGAGGAAGAAAACAGCTCCTGTATGTCTGACTCCTTGTCTCTTAATAAATTTCCTGTAGCATTGGTGTTCTCGGCTTCCGTGAAGGAGTTGGGTCCCAGTGCATGGCGCCTCCTGGAGCTCCCCCGTCCTACAGAATTCAAGTCACCTTAGAGTCTCAACTTCCTTCTAAGAGGAAGGGCAGGCCTCCACCTGGGGTCCCACTGCTGTTTGCCAGCTCGGACCCCCTGTGTCTCTCCAGTGCCTTTGAAGTTTTCTCCATTGTGGGGGAGGAGGGGTAATTCTACTGTATTGACAGATAAGCTCAAAATCTCACGCCCTTGTATGATACAACTTTATCTTTCATTTACCAAGTCACCAAGAAGCCGGTTCTTCCCACAGAGGTGTTCAGAGGCCAGCTAAGGGAGGCCCCATTGCCTACACCAGTGACGCCCCCACCAGTGATGCCCCCACCAGTGATGCCCCCCACCACGCTCCAAGGTATGCCGTCCACACCTGCACCCCCCACAAAGATCGGCAGAGAGAAATCAGAGAGAGCCTGCGAGTTCCTCCAGCCTACTCAGACGGCCGCGTCCAAGCAGCGCAGGCGGGCAGCTGGAACAGCAGAAACGGGTTTTCTCTCAGTCTGGAGGCCAGAAGCCCGAGGTCCGGGTGCGGGTGAGGCTGGGCTCCTCTCCTTCCTTTCCCAGGCTGTTCTCCCTGGCGTGTAGATGGCCATCTTCTCCCTGGTCCTCTTAGGGCCTTCCCTCTGTGCGTATCCTAATTTCCCTTCTTACAAGGACTCAGTCCTATTAGTTTAGGGCCCACCCACACGACCTCACTTAACCTTAATCACTTTTCTGCAGACTCTGTCTACAAACGCAGTCACATTCTGAGGTCCTGGATGTTAGGGCTTCAACATATGAATTTGGGGGATCACCCTTCAGCCCATGACACGTTCTGAGTCACTTTAGACCAAGTTGTGATCTTGGCTAAAATCACTATCCAAAGCTGATAACACAGCCCCCCTAAGCCAAGGTGGCCAGGAAGCACCCCCACCTGTAGCTGATCCAGCAGGGGTCGTGGGGCAGTGAGACTGCTCTGCCAGGCAGAGCTCCTTGCCCTGGGGACTCTCTCTAACTGACCCAAAGCATCACGCTCAGACTGTCGGGAGCAGTGACTCAAAGGCTCCAGAGGCTCCTGTAAGTCCGCTCACGGCCGCAGTTCTGTACTTGGTGTCGTGATGAAGGGCAGACACAGTTCCCGGTGTTAGGTATCGTGTGCCGAATGCAGAGTCAACTTAGAATTCTAGCGACAGCTGGAGACAAGAACCGCTGTCCGCACCGTCACCATCTGCAAGAGTAAACAGTGCAGCTGAGACAGACCTGGGGGAGCGGAGATGCCGAGAAGGACCACCAGGACCCACAGAGGGGCCGGGGTAAGAGTGTCCCCCATACCTGCCGCAATCCCAGCCTTTACATCCAACCCACAGAAATGTCACCCCCGAGAGCTCTGACTCTCCAGATGTCTGTGAAGCTCTAGCTGGAGCCGGGATCCGCCCCATGAACCGCAGCTTAAATGCCAGCTGATGGGGCTCAAATACGCCTAAGCGTCTATGTGAGCTGACGGCTAATTCTTAGAGAACAAGCCCCAGCGAATTCATGAAAGCACATTTCTGCAACGGAGCCCAGCTTCCTAACTGTTGGTTCACCCTGAATGCAGGTCATTAGGTATTCCTGCCTGGGCCCTGGTCGTCACTGTCACTCCGGAACCATGGCGCGGAGGAGGGGCGTCTATGGGAGCAAGGGGTGGCCTCCCACGAGAGCCCCCGATGGAGCCCGAGGGACTGCTTTACCTCCCGTGCCGCAGCTCCCCCAGGGCGCACGGTGGGACAGTGAGCGTCTCAGAGGCTTCTGGCCAGAAGACGGAGGTGTAGGAAGGGAACGGAGGCACTCCCCCGGCACGCCCAGCACAGGAGTGTCCACACTGTCTCCTCCCTGCGGACGGACAGTGGAAGGGTGGCGTTTGTTCCATGCACGGGACTCACCAGGCTCACACAGGGGTCTTAGGACTCACACTCACCCTCCCTCCCCCGGGCGTCACTCCCGGCTCAGGGACCGCGTTGCGGCTCCATGTTTTAGCGGCTGCACAGTCCACGCATCACATTTACAGAAGCTTCCTTCTGCGGACGGTGTCTACCTTGTCTGCACCTTTGCCAGCCACGGGGCGCAGCGCTCCGGAGTTGTCTTCGGGAAGTTAGTTGCTGGCAGGCGTGCAGCGCACCCACGGGCCCCCTCACTGTGACAGGAGGGCGGAGCTTCCAGCCGGGTCCTGACGCGCCCTCCTGCGGGGCTCGGCGCTCCGACCCCGGCCGGTCTGGTGCTGTTGGGCCCCCGGACTCGGAGCTCCAGCCTCCCCGCGGTGGCCCTGCCCTGCCTTCCCCACCCTCTCCCCCACTCGCCCTCAAGTTTGCAGGCTCTAAGCTTCCCAGTGAAAACCATTTTCACTCCTCTGATGCCAATATTTCCATTATGGTACTGTAACAGAGTTACTGGGCTCCAGAGAGCATCTGGAGCAGCAACTCTGAGGGTGCCTGGGGCACCCTGGGGAGGCTGGCAAGCCTCATGAAGCCCGAGGGTGAGGAGGGGTGGGGTTTCAGCGGAGCCGAGGAGGGGCGGGCCAGTCAGGGGCTCCTGATGGTGACCGATGCACACGGTCACAGGACTGGAGCCCCGACTTAGGTGAAAGGGAAGAGCCCACCCAGGAGGACCACACTGTGTGCTGTGCAATCCACTTCCGCAGCACGGAGGAAGCGGCAGGATTCTAGGTGGTTTCTGGGGAGCAGCGAGGGGGGGGAGTTGACTCCAAAGAAAGTAGGGTGAGTAGATGGAGCAGTTCAGAACTCCCCGGTGGTCACAGGAGTCTGCACAGGGGATAAGATGCTTAGAATCACACACACACACACACACAGACACACACGAGTGCAGGTGAAAGCCAGGGACACCTGCTAAGGTCTGAAGTCCAGTTACCAGTGTGAGGTTGATGTCCTGGCTGTGACACCATTACAGGGATGGGTGGGCAGGAGGACGGGATCAGGGCTTTGTACGAGTCTTGCCATTTCTTGTGGGTCTATAATTACCTCAAAGTAAAAAGCTAAATATTTTTCTGAAAAAATTCCAGGAGCTAATTAAGAGTTGACTCATTGGAAAAGACCCTGATTCTGGGAGGGATTGGGGGCAAGAGGAGAAGGGGATGACAGAGGATGAGATGGCTGGATGGCATCACCAACCCAATGGACATGAGTGTGAGTAAACTCCAGGAGTTGGTGATGGACAGGGAGGCCTGGCGTGCTGCGATTCACGGGGTTGCAAAGAGTCGGACACGACTGAGTGACTGAACTGAACTGAACTGAATTGCTAGCTAATCAAAAATCTGCAAAGTATACCCGGATCCCGAGTCAATGACTATCTTGTGAAAGAGCGATATCTCCTCAAGGACCCCAGGCCCCTCACAGGGGCCCTGTCAACCCCCACTGAAGCTGAAGTTGTAGGCCCACAATGCTCCCTGAGCTGGCCAAGTCCTTCCACTAGAGAGGGAGCTTTCTACTGCCTGGGCCTCATACTGACAGGAGTCGTGGAGACAGACCTGGGGATCCAGGGCAGAGGAGGGGCAAGACTGGAGATGTGTGCATGGGCCCTGGGCCTAGTAAGTGTGTGTGCACGTGTGTGTGCATGTGTGCATGTATGTGTTGTGTGTGCGTGTATGCTGAGTGAGTATGTGCATATGGGTGCACACGTGTGTGCTAAGTATGTGTGCATATATGTACCCACATGCACATGTGTGCTAAGTGAGTGTATGTGCGTGGGTGCTGAGAGTCTGTATGTGTGTTATGTATGTGTGTATATGTGTGAACAGATATGTACTGTTTGTATATATGTTCACACATGTGTGCCGAGTATCTGCATGTGTGCACACACATGTGTACTAAGTATGTATATGTGTGGACACATGTGTACTAAGTGTGGTGTGTATATGTGTGGGCACGTGTGTTAAGTGTGTGTGCATGTGTGTGCACACATATGGGGATTATGGGGGAGAGCTGGCTGAGAAGGGAGTTACCAGCTACTTGTCTCCGCAGAATTGACTCCGGGTAGATGGTTGTGTTATTTGCACCCATCTACGGTTCCCAGTCCGGTCCCCTGGGGCCACCTAAGCTTAGCTCCAAAGCCATGGGACATTCACTCTCCCCACGGGCCCCAAAGGGGTCTGGGACAAGGGAATAGAGCCCTCGTCCTTTGAGAACTCGCAGCCCTGGTGTTCGATCCCCCGGTACTTTCTGTCCCGTGTCCTGAAGTCACGCAAAGGATGGAGTGTTGCCTTAGCATTAGCGACTTAGAAGGCAGAGCAATTTTCTTTTGTCTAATTATGCAATGACGCATCAATCAAAGTAAATACAAAGAACTCAGGTAAAACTGTGAGGCACTTCAATGGGATGGAGACTTGAAATATGGGTTTGGCTGAACTGTGGGAGAAATGCCAAATAACAGCTGACTTGATGCATAATCTCTGACATAGATGAAGAGCTGGTTTAGAGAAGTTTCGTAACAAATGGCTCTTAAATTAGGATTTCAATCCTTTTATACAGACTTGGCAAATGTAAATCCAGGGTAGGCTGACCTCTGCATGCTAATGCTTTATCCTTGATTTTAGCCTGGGGTGTCTGTCTTCAAACACACCAGGTGTTTAGGTATGTAGGTGTTGAGGAGGGTGGCGGGGGTGTGTGTGTATTAGTTACAATCAGCACCTCGGAGTAAGAAAAGGAACATGCCCAACCCTCATGACCGAGGACTCCAATAGACAACTACAGAAGCAAAATACCAAGTTAAACAGACAAAATTCAGAGATTTTCCAAGTAGATTTCCCCCCTCAAATGTTCTTTTCTTTCTCTGCCTCTTCTACCCTCTTCTTCCTTGGAGCTTAATGAAAACTTTGGCTTTCCAAGTTTAATTTTGCTTTCAGTTTTTATGGAACCTAACATCTGCTTTCAAAGGCCGGTTGCGGCCACCGTGACTTGGGTTTGCCTGATTCCCATCTGGAGGGAAATAAGATAAAGGAGTGGTCACACGGGGCCCTGCTCTCCGCCTCAGCGGGGGTCACTTCACCCCATGGAGCGCAGGCATGATCTTTTGGGGAAATGTTTGAAATCAAACACATCTGCTTGAATTTATCGTAAACACAGAGGTTCCAAGCCCGAAATAAAATGGAAAAACGATTTTGTGTGGTTTCCAGAGCCAGTAAAATGGCCAGAATCACTTACATCTCTGATCCCCGAGATGACCACGAGGATCCTCCGCCTTCCTGTGAGCTGTTTTCAGATCAGCTGTCTTTAATCTTCCTCCTCGTCTTCCCTTCAGGGAACTTACAGAGTCTCAGGTCTCTGATCCAACCTAAGGCGATTATAAGTGCATACCTCCCAATTTTTAAAAAAATTGCACTTTAGACCCTTAGGCCCAAAGAGAAAACACCTGGAAAACAGACGAGGCTTAGAAATTCATTGAGCAGCTTTAAAAATGATTCAAATGAGCTTCATTCTTGAGCTGAGGTTTTTATTAGCTGTATGTTCTTGCAGCCCAGAAGGCAGGTACATGGGGGCTTTCATATCAAATCATGAGAGAAACTTTGAACTACAGCTGCTTTTCCCTCTCTACTTTTAGGAAAGACCTCACAAATCAGAATAAATTAGCTAATCGTGATTTTGTGAGAGAAATTAGCAATAAAAAAGAAATAGCTTTCCACAGAGTTTTTCTAGAAGCCACACATGATAAGCCCAATCTCCTGTTTCACTTGCTCAGACCCAGAGTCACCGAGATAATCACAGAGTCTGTGACCACGGAACAGAAGTCTGGTGCTGGTCGCAGACCAACCTTCCTTCTGGTTTAATGTGTGGGTGCTGGATGGCTGCCATGTCCCAGGACAGGAGCCGGGTGCTCAGGGCGGAGACTGTGTTGGTCTGGCTCGTGGGGCTGGTCTCTCGCGTCATGAGGGCTTTTGTCTGCCCTGAGGCTCCACCTGCCCCGAGGTTCCACCTGCTCTCAGCCTGTGTACGGCTAACATCATCACCCTCTTCCTTGGCCTTGCAAGTAACAGAAATGCATTAAAAGTAAACCATGAAAAATTGGGTTACACAGATAGAGGGAGCCTTGTCATACCCAAGGGCAAGAAGTACAGTCAAGCCTCGAGAAGTAAGAGAGCCAGAACATGGAAACCACATGAAACCAAAGTGGCCCAGCCACCCTGCCACCTGCATCGCTCCACGGTCTCTCTGGAGACCCACGACTGTTCATCCCTGGTCCTCCTCTCTTCTCCCCGTCTCTGTCTCCCCGTCTCTGTCTCCCGTTTCCTCATCTCTGTCTGTCTCCGCATCTCTGTCTCTCTGTCTCCCCCGTCTCTGTCTCCCGTTTCCTCATCTCTGTCTGTCTCCCCGTCTCTGTCTCTCTGCCTCCCCTTCTGACTCTCTCACTGCTGTCTTTCTCAGCTTCTCAGCAATGGGGCAGAAGACAGCTGCTCCTTTTTTCCCAAAGTTTTCTGTCCTCCCAGTTCAAGTTCTAACCGAATCTGTTCAGCCACTCCAGCTTCAATTCCAAAGTCCTAGCTGAAAATGTCTTATTGATACAGTCCAGCTGTGAACTGAATATAAACAGACGCGTCTCCCATGATGCCACGCCTTGGCTCCACCGGCAGTGTAGCAGAGCAGTCGGGGTGCTGACCACTGTAGGGCCTTGATCCCGTAGCCTGCCTCTGTGACTCTCTTCATCCATAGCTGAGTTCAGTTCAGTCGCTCAGTCCTGTCCGACTCTTTGTGACCCCATGAACTGCAGCACGCCAGGCCTCCCTGTCCATCACCAGCTTCCAGAGTCCACCCAAACCCATGTCCACTGAGTCAGTGATGCCATCCAACCATCTCATCCTCCATCATCCCCTTCTCCTCCTGCCCTCAATCTTTCCCAGCATCAGGGTCTTGTCTAAGGAGTCAGTTCTTTGCATCAGGTGGTCAAAGTATTGGAGTTTCAGCTTCAACATCAGTCCTTCCAATGAATATTCAGGACTGATTTCCTTTAGGATGGACTGGTTGGATCTCCTGGCAGTCCAAGGGACTCTCAAGAGTCTTCTCCAATACCACAGTTCAAAAGCATCAATTCTTCGGCGCTCAGCTTTCTTTATACTCCAGCTCTCACAGCCATACTGGAAAAACCATAGCTTTGACTAGATGAGCCTTTGTCAGCAAAGTAATATCTCTGCTTTTTAAAATGCTGTCTAGGTTGGTCATAGCTTTTCTTTCAAGGAGCAAGTGTTTTTTAATTTCGTGGCTGCAGTCACTATCTGCAATGATTTTGGAGCCCTTTATTTGGAAGAAAATAAAGTCTGTCACTGTTTCCATTGTTTCCCCATCCATTTGCCATGAAGTGATGGGACTGGATGCCATGAACTTAGTTTTCTGAATGTTGAGCTTTAAGCCAACTTTCTCACTCTCCTCTTTCACTTTCCTCAAGAGGCTCTTTAGTTCCTCTTCACTTTCTGCCGTAAAGATGGTGTCATCTGCATATCTGACGTTATTGATATTTCTCCCAGCAATCTTGATTCCAGCTTGTGCTTCACATCCAGCCCAGCATTTCACATGATGTCCTCTGCATATAAGTTAAATAAGCAGGGTGACAGTATACAGCCTTGACGTACTCCTTTCCCAATTTGGAACCAGTCCGTTGTTCCACATCTGGTTCTAACTGTTGCTTCTTGACCTGCCTATAGTATCTCGGGAGGTAGGTAAGGTGGTCTGAGATGCCTGCAATGTAGGAGATGCAGGAGACTTGTGTTCAATCCCTGGGTCAGGAAGATCCCTTGGAAGAGGGCGTGGCCACCCACTGCAGTATTCTTGCCTGGAAAATCCCATGGAGAGAGGAGCCTGGTGGGGTACAGTACATGGGATGCAAAGAGTCAGACACGACTGAGAACACACATACACTTATATGTATAACAGATTCACTTTGCTGCGCATCTGAAACTCACACAACATGGTTCGTTAACCATACTCCAATAAAAATTAAAAAAAAACCAAATAACAGCAATTCTCCCAGAGTTTCTGTGGGGATTAAATAACACGATGCAGATAAGAGATCATCACAGCCTGGGCACAGAATACGCCTCGATAAGCTGTTCTATTCCTGCCATCCTCAGGTTATTCTGAGTTCATCCTTTGGCAGCTGCCTGAGCAGGTTTTCTCAAGGAAGCATTGGGTGCGGCTGTTGGGTCCCCGCGTACACCGGGTCAGACCCTGGGCACCCACCAGCCCATTGCATCAATACCCTGTCCAGCACAGGGTCCCGCCTGCACACCCGTGTGCTCATGCAGTCTCTAGACTCTCCTCCAGCAAATCTTCTTGGAAGTTTCCAGAAAACAGCCTCGCCAACACCACTTTCTCGCCCATCCACCGGGGTGGATCTGAGGCCTCCTCACTGTCCATGCACTTGTGACCCAGGAGCTGATGCCGCCGCCCTGCAGTGGGGATGCTCGGAAAGAGCACTGCCCCGCTGAGGAGGACAGTTCACCACATGTCCGCCGGGCCGCTGTGCCCCCCAGGTGCTCATGGCGCTCGTGGGCCCCCCGGCCGGGCTCCCTGCTCTGGAGACACCCCGGTGTCCGCACTGCATGGACAGATGCATGCAGTGACTGTGTCCCCACTGTGGAATCTGGTGCCCAGAGAGAGTCCTTCCGTCACCAACTCGATGCTGACCAGCTGGTAAGTTAGTCAAACTTCTTGAGCTCCAGCACCTTCTGTAAAAGGATACCAACCCCCTTAGAGATGTGGTGAAGAGTCACTGAGCTGGTGTATCTAGTCTTAGAAATTTCTGATTTCTGGAAATGGCGAAGCAGTGTACACCAGACTGATCTGCCCACCAGCGTCAGTTACGAGCTTCAGACAAGATAGGATGGGCTATTCTGAGGCACCAGAGCGCAGAGGCAGATGCGGAGAAGGCTCAGCTCTTGAAAAGAAGAGACGACCTGGACGGAGTGAGGAGCCGCATTTACCCAGTCTGTCCTCTCGGGCCCTTCACAGGCCTGGGGACTGGAGGCCAAGCAAGAGCGGAGGCACTGGGCGTGTCCCTGCAGACGGCAGAGCTCGGGGCAGGCAGTGACCGGACTCGGAGGAGGAGGGGGCCCCAGGCAGAGCAAGGTCACGGGTGGACTGGTCTCCTGCCGGCGTGCTCCGCTTTCCTTCTTCACATCAACATTTTACACGGGAATATGAGCCGCCCTAGAATTTCTACACCACGTCATCCACAGTGCCCAATGTACAACGGTAACTACTTTACATGAAAAGAACCAGGAAAATGTGACCTAGTCAACAAGGCAGATTCACTCATGACCCCAAATCAGAAAATAACATACATTCAAACAATTCGCAGGAAAAGATACACAGATGAAGAGAAGTTTAGGAGACAAATAGAAATTCTAAATGAATAAATATATCTACTAGAACTGAATGTTCAATATCTGGAATTTTAAAGAAACCTCCACAACGTGGAACATTTCAGTATCAATGACCTTGAAGACAGATAATTTCAACAGAAATTATCCAAAATGAAGAACTGGAGAAAATAATTAAAAACAACAACAACAGTGAAAGCAATGAATAGAGTCACAGTTACATGTGAGAGTTGCAAGCAATCTAATCTGTATGTGATCTATCTGGAGACTCTGTTTAGAGTCCCAGCAGCAAAGAAAAGAGAAAACGGGACAAAAAAATTTGGAAAAATGTTCAAAATTAATCCTAATTTGATTAAAAACATGAGTCTCCAGATACTTAAGACGATCAAGTCCCAAGGGGGTTAAATATAAATAAAACCACCCCTTAGCACCCATCCTCAAGTTGTTAAAAACTAATAAGGAAGAGAAAACTCATAAGCAGAGGAGGAAAGAAGATCCTCATAGCCTGCATTCTCATCAGTAACACTGGAGGCCACAATAACGTGGAATGACGTCAGTGAAGCGCTGAGAGCAAAGTGTAAATTCTGAAGGTCTCAGCCCCCCGAAAACACTTTCAAAAATGAAGGCAAAATAAAGATTCCATCCCACGGGCACGAGGCTGCGCTGCACACCCATTCTAGAGAAAATCCGCCGGCGGTCGTGCGGCCACGAGGAAGGGCCCCTGCAGGCGGGTCGAAAAGAAGGGGGGACTCGGCCAGCGAACACAGAACCTGCCGCCAGAGGGGCGGGGCCTGCAGCTGCCCCGCCGGGCAGAGGCAGAGGTTTCGCAGGAGCGCAGCTTTGCTTTAACCTTATTTTTACTCTGCGAAGATGGACTGAAAGCACTGGCTTATGTTTGATTCCACGTGAAAGAATAAAGAAAGTGACATTTCTTCCCTCTCTGTGTTTGCGTTGCTAGATTCACATTTCTTATTGGAATATAACTGCCTTACAATTTGCCATGTGAGAGTCCGCGGTGCAGCAGCGTGAATCAGCCGTCAGCATGCACGCATCCGCTCCGTCGAGAGCCTCCGCCGCCCGCCCTGCAGGTCTCACAGAGCGCCGAGTGAGCTCCCCGTGAGGCACAGCGGCTTCCGCGAGCCATCCCTTGCACGCGCGGGAGCGTCTGTCCTATGGAAGCCACCGGGTCAGTTTCTCGGCCCCGCCCCTCCCCTGCTGGGTCCAGAGTCCACTCGCGACACCTTTGCCTCTACGCCTGCCCTCAGACAGGCGCCGCAGCGCTGCTCCCCTGGGCACCGTACACACGAGGAAGTGAGGTCGCTCAGTCGTCTCGACTCTTTGCGACCCCATGAGCTGTAGCCCGCCAGGCTCCTCCATCCATGGGATTCTCCAGGCAGGAATACTGGAGGGGCTGCTATTTCCTTCTCCATCCGTATATTAACCCCATATATATATATATATATATAGGGTTATATAGTAATATATGTTAATATGTGATGTTTGTTTTTCCCTTTGACTTCGCTCGGTATGACAGGCTCTGGTACAATGGGATATCACTCAGCATAAAAAGGAACAGAATTGAGTCAGTTGAAGCGATGTGGGTGAAGCTAGACTCACTCTTGTTACAAAACTAAAGCTGATCTGGCCCCTCCTCATCCAGGACGCCCCCTCCCCGATCCCGTCTGAGGCTCTCTCACCCGTCCTCCCCAGGAGGGGCAGGGCCGGGTGACACGCAGGGCAGAGGATGCTACCTTTTCCCTCGTTTCACTGTGTCAGTCTCTCTTTGAGGCTGAAGCTTAGTGCCCTGCTTGCTCAGTCATCACTGGGTCTGGCTGATAAGTCTCTCCTGTGTGTTCAGTCCCCAGGGCTGCTCTAACAAGACCGACAGAAGGTGCCTTACGCAGCAGACATGTCCTTTCTCAAAGCCCTGCCGGCTGTGGGCAGGGCCGCTTTCTGCGGAGGCCTCTCCTTGGCTGGCAGATGCCGCCTACTCCCTGCGTGTCTGTCCTGGTCTCTTCTCCCAGGACACCAGTCTCGTCTCGTTGGGTTAGGATCCACCCTAAAGACCTCCTTTTAGCTTCATCACCTCTGTGAAAACCTCTGCCAAACAGAACTACATGTGAGGCCCTGAGTGTTAGGACAGCATCCTGTGGAAGGTGGGCGTGGGGCGGCCCCACCCAGAGCACCGAGAGCAGGGCAGCTCCGCTGGACCCAAAGAGTCTGTCCATCCACGTGAGACACAGCTCAAGCCACCAGCTCACGCCAGCTCCGTCTTTTAAGTTCAAGCCTCCCGATCTTACCCCCCAGGCTTCTGCACAATGGAGGGGCCTCTTCAAAACTCCCAGTGTATTCAGAATAGCTCTTTCTAGTTTTCCCGGTGAAAGGCCTGTGGTTCAGAGGCTGATCTTATCGAAAGGCTGCATCAGCACAAACCTCCAGGATTTGCCTGGGGGCCTCTAGAGGAAGCCACACGGTGTGGAGAAGAAACTGGACTGCAGCTCCTCTTTTGGTACCAGGCGGATACCCAACACCCTTTATAGTCTTGCTTTGCAGCTTAAATTGTATACTCCCCAAGTCCCCAGCTGAATAAATGCATTGAATTAGGGATGGGGGTGTGCGACTTTGAATAAGGCTGCCTCTGCTCTGTGAAATTCTATATGGCTTTGTCGGGGACCTAAACAGTTGTTCTTGTCCCAACGATGGTTTGATTCTCATGTTAAACTTTTAGTTTGATAGAGAGTCAAAGAGCGCAGACTCGGGAATCTGAAATGCCCCACTTCCCAGGCAGACCCCTGGTGAAGTCAGTGACCCGTGGGAGGTGGACAGGGCCAGACTGCAGTGTCTGGTGTCTCCCTGGGGAGCAGGCGCCACTTTCACATATGCTATGATGTGGAAATAGGAGAGAACCTAGAAACCACTCATGCTTTCGTGTGGGCATCACATGGGACTCCTGCCCAGGTGTCCTCAGACCTGGGACGCCTCACGAGTCAGGGAGAAAGGGCCCAGCTCAAGCAGGCACTTCCGTCAGAGGCCGAGCCGCCGGCAGCTGTACCCAGACAGGATTCTTGAGCCGTGTGATCAGAGCACAGAGCCTGCAGGGGACCCTCCAGGAAACAGGAAGGACGTCCTCTCTGTGACCACAGGCCTGAGACTCCTCAGAGTCCCCACGGATGCATTTCCGTGAATTAAGATGGTACCTTGGGGAAGAGACAGAAACCCTGCTCCGGCCAAGGGCCGAGACGGAGCAAGCACCTCTTGTTTGCAGGGGAGTCGCCTGTGTGCCCACCAGCCGGCTTCAGCCCGCCGGGGACAGAGGTAGCGGGGAGCGGGTTCAGGGCAGGGGGTGCATCTCAGGCCCTCCCCGTCACCAGCCCTCCCAGGGGCCCACTGCCCCCAGTTCCTCCCTCCCTGGGGGCCACAGGCAGCCTCAGGCCCCCTCCTCTGCCGGTTACAGGATGTGTGCTCCCAGGCACGTCCTCCGCCTGTCTGCAGTGGACTCCCCGCCCCCCCCACGGCCACGCAGACAGCATGCAGGGCTCAACACGCAGGGCCGAATGAGCCAGCCTGGTGCTCCCACTGATGTCCTCTCACCCTGGGTTGGTGGGGCTGGCCCTGCAGGGGGTCCCCCAGATGAAGCTGAGGGCCCCCAGGCCAGGGTGGTGGCCACTGCTGTGTGGGCAGAACCTATGGGATGCCTTGCTTTATCTCACTGCAGAGGTTTCACCTAAAGGACAGGTTTCTAAGTGAAAATCCCAGACCCATGCAAGCCTGACGTTTGCTATTTGACGGCAAAGAAACCACAGTGAGGGCTAAATTGCCCTCTTTTCGTGGGACGCATACACACGTGCCCCAGGACCCTTCGGAAGGAGCTGCAGGTAGGCCCGTGGTCCCCACGAGAAGTCCTGGATTTGAAGCCTATTTTAGGAGAAGGAAATCTGAGGCTTGGAATTCCAGAATCACGGACTCTTGCAGCAAGAAAGAACCTGAAGTCAAGGGACCAGTGAGCAACCCCAGGGTCCCAGGTCCCCAGCCCAGGGCTCCGGCAGCCCTGTCTCTTCCTGTTAGAGCCCATGGAAAGCTGGTGGCTGCTTCTCCAGCTGCAGGGCTCCTGCCGGCATCGCTGGGCCCACCTGAGGGCCACCTTAGAACCAGTGATGGTTCTAAGGAGGATGAACTCGTTAGCACCCAGCACGGGGAGTCATCACCTCTCTCCTGTCTCAGAGGCCACACCCACACCCTTGGCATCTCCCTTGCCCACCCCGCAGCCTGAAGGGCACCAGGTCACCCCGACGATTTGCTCAGGGCCTCGGTCTGGCCCTTGCGCTGGGTCTGGCACCCAGACGTCTGACAGCGGTGGGGACAGGTCGCTCTCTTGTGCACAAGGGGCTCCCAGGGGACCAGACAGCAGAACACTCCTGGAACCCAGGCCCTGTCCCTCGTTCATGCACAAAGGCAAGGCGCGTCCTGCCGCCAGCTCCCTTGGGAGGCGCCAAGCAGAGGGGAGACCACGGCCTGCCTCCCAGGACCCCACGGTGAGGGAGAAGCCTCGGGGCCCAGGAGGCAGGGGCCACCCTGTCCCCCGCTCCTCCATGGGTGCCTTTTGCTGGGCGGAGGGCTGAGCCTGCCCGGCTTCCCAGCCCTGATCCTAGGGGCTCCGGGTGCGCTGGGGCCCCTCGTTCCATCCCCTGATGCATGCGGGGCCATAGAGGGGCGGGAACAGGCGGATCTCTGGCCCCCTGCCCCTCCAGGGCCTGAGCTAGAGGCGGGTCCCCAGCTCACAGGCAAACGGGCGCCTGGCACTCGAAGCCGGGGCGCAGGCGCCTGAGGAAGCAGCTCCTCGGGCTGCTGGGAGTGGGACATCCTCCCCAGAGTGGGAACGTGGGCCAGGTTCCCGGGCTCTGTTGCCCCGCTCCCCTCACCCCCACGGCACCTCCCTCCCCCTCACCACCCCCATGGCACCCTTCACCCCTCTCCCCCAATGTGCTCAGGAGCCCACCCCCGGGAGGAGCTGCTTGTGTTGTTCCCCCCCTCCCCACGCCGCTCCCAGCAGAATTGCATGACCCCCCTGGACAGGGAGCGAGCTGGCCGCCCGGCTTCGGCTCTGCCCCGAGGCCCAGCCTCAGTCCTGTGTGCCTGCCACATGGCTGGGCCCCCTCAGAGCGTGGAGACCCTGTGGTGGTTGGGATTGGGGCGCCGGGCCCACGCTCCTCCAGGTCAAGGATCCACCCGTAGGGGTCTCCTGTCCCCGCGCAGACCCTGGGGGCCGGTCAGGCCAGGGCAGGCGCACTGCGGTCCACCCCGGAGCGGATGCCCACACAGATGCCTTCACACTCCCCCAAGCCTGCAGTTCCCTGGACTTGGCCACACAAACACGCTCCTCACTTTGCAGCATCCACAGCACTGGGTGTGGGGCGGCCCGTGCGGCCCTCCCGGCCCATCTCCTGGGCAGCTGTGTGTCCTGCTCCTTCGAGGTAGGAATCTGTGCCCCCCGCCCCAAGGGCATTCATGGCCCACCCCGTCCGGGGACACGGCCTTGGCAGAAAGCAGAGACGGCCCGGCCCCTGTGAACCCACCCATGGCTCCCAGCTCTCCTCCCCGGGAGTGGCCGGTGACCAGGGAGCTGGCACACATGCGTTCCCCCGCCCCCTCCAGCCCTGCTCAGGCTGCCGGGGGAGGGCCCTGGAGAGACGGCCAGGAGGAAGGCCAGGAGGGAAGGGCGGGAGCTCCTGCCATCTCTACCGCAGCAGGTGGGGCAGCCCCAGGACCCTTGGGCGGGGCAGGGTAGAGCGGGGCCTCCTGCAGCGGCTGCCGGCTGCTCTTTGCCTGTGGCTCCGCAGCGCAGTGGGCCTGCGGCGACCCTCCTGACCAAAGCAGCCCCCACGCGGGGGCCAGGACCCCTTTCTTGGGCTCTGTGTCTCAGCCAGGAGCCCCCGCTCCCTAAGGTTCTCTTCACTTCGAGACTCCAATCACGCTTAGTTAGTAATCCTTTACGCTAAGCTTCCCTGTTCACTCTGTTAAGTGGCTTCTGCCTCCTGGTTGTGTTCTGGCTGATACATGGGCCAAGTGGCTACCATTTTCCCCAGAGAAACAGCACTGGTTTTTGGCTGGCGTCCGAAGTTACCCAGAGAAGGAGATGGCAACCCACTCCAGTATTCTTGCCTGAAAAAAATCCCACGGACAGAGGAGCCTGGTGGGCTACAGTCCTTGGGGTTGCAAAGAGTCAGACACAACTGACCTCAGAAGTCAGACAGAAAAGAACAGGCAAGTGCTCTGGGGAGGAGAGGGGCTTCCTCCAACTCAACCTGCATGAAGAGCCTTCTAGTTCCTCAGCTGCTTGGATGGACACTCGGCTTCCACTGGCCCGAGGCTGGCCTGAGTGAGGCAGGCTGACTGGACAGGCTGGGGTAGGAGTCCCAGAGGGTACTGGGGCGCAACAGAGAGGACTTCTAACAATTTTTGCATGATTTTCACCAACATACCGGGGAGAGAGCCTTGCAAATACAAAACTATAAGAAGCTAAACAATAACATATAACTAAATAATAACTCCACCATAGTTTAGCCCCAGGTAAATAGCAAGAAGGGAACATAGCTCCACCCATCAACAAAAAGCTAGATTAAAGATTTATTGAGCATGTCTCCGCCCATCAGAACAAGACCCAGTTTCCCCCTCAGTCAGTCTGTCCCATCAGGAAGCTTCCATAAGCCTCTTATCCTTCTCCATCAGAGGGCAGACTGAAAACCACAATCACAGAAAACTAACCAATCTGATCACAGGGACCATAGCCTTGTCTAACTCAGTGAAACTTTGAGGCATGCCATGTGGGGCCACCCAAGATGGGCGGATCATGGTGGAGAGGTCTGACAAAACGAGGTCCACTGGAGAAGGGAATGGCAAACCACTTCAATATTCTTGCCTTGAGAACCCCATGAACAGTATTAAAAGGCAAAAAGATAGGACACTGAAAGATGAATTCCCCAGGTTGGTAGGTGCCCAATATGCTACTAGAAATCAGTGGAGAAATAACTACAGAAAGAATGAAGGGATGGAGCCAAAGCAAAAACAACACCCAGTTGTGGATGTGACTGGGGATGGAAGCAAACTCTGATGCTGTAAAGAGCAAGATTGCATAGGAACCTGGAATGTTAGGTCCATGAATCAAGGCAAATTGGAAGTGGTCAAACAGGAGATGGCAAGAGTGAACGTTGACATTTTAGGAATCAGCGAACTAAAATGGACTGAAATGGGTGAATTTAACTCAGATGACCATTATATCTACTACTGTGGGCAGGAATCCCTTAGAAGAAATGGAGTAGCCCTTATAGTCAACAAAAGAGTCTGAAATTCAGTACTTTGATGCAATTTCAAAAACGACAGGATGATCTCTGTTCGTTTCCAAGGCAAACCAGTCAATATCACAGTAATCCAAGTCTATGCCCCGACCAGTAACGCTGAAGAAGCTAAAGCTGAATGGTTCTATGAAGACCTACAAGATCTTATAGAACTAACACCCCAAAAAGATGTCTTTTTCATTATAGGGGACTGAAATGCAACATTAGGAAGTCAAGAAACACCTGGAGTAACTTGCAAATTTGGCCTTGGAGTACAGAATGAAGCAGGGCAACGGCTAATAGAGTTTTGCCAAGAGAACGCACTGGTCATAGCAAACACCCTCTTCCAACAACACAAGAGAAGACTCTACACATGGACATCACCAGATGGTCAATACCGAAATCAGATTGATTATATTCTTTGCAACCAAAGATGGAGACTGTATAGTTATACAGTCAGCAAAAACAAGACTGGGAGCTGACTGTGGCTCAGAACATGAACTCTTTATTGCCAAATTCAGACTTAAATTGAAGAAAGTAGGGAAAACCACTAGACCATTCAGGTACAACCTAAATCAAACCCCTTACAATTATACAGTGGAAGTAATGAATAGATTCAAGGGATTAGATCTGATAGAGTGCTTGATAAACTATGGACAGAGGTTCGTGACATTGTACAGGAGACAGGGAACAAGACCATCCCTAAGAAAAAGAAATGCAAAAAAGCAAAATGGCTGTCTGAGGAGGACTTACAAATAGCTGTGAATAGAAGAGAAGCCAAAAGCAAAGGAGAAAAGGAAAGATATACCCATTTGAATGCAGAGTTCCAAAGACTAGCAAGGAGAGATAAGAAAGCCTTCCTCAGTGATCAGTGCAAAGAAATAGAGGAAAACAATAGAATGGGAAAGACTAGAGATCTCTTCAAGAAAATTAGAGATACCAATGGAACATTTCATGCAAAGATGGGCTCAATAAAGGACAGAAATGGTATGGTTAGATAGAAGATATTAAGCAGAGGTGGCAAGAATACACAGAAGAACTATACAAAAAAGATCTTCACGACCCAGATAATCACGATGAAGACCTAGTGCAACCCAAAATTAATTAATTAACAAAAATAAAAGCATGGTTATGCTGGGACTCTACCTACGCTTACCTGAATGAGCAAAACAGACTTTCAAGTAAAGTGAAAATACTATTGCCAGCATGGATATGTTGTATAGTTCTATATTTAATTTTTATTTGATTATAAAATTTCATTTACAGTTTTTTATCTTAGGAACCCAAGGGCTATTTAACATAGACATTTATGGTGAACTAAAGTTACTATGAGACCATTTAAGTAGTTGGCGTTAAGTGAGCATGAATTTATAGTTCCATAAACGTTCTCTTGAATTGCTTAGGACACAGTGCTGCAAAGCAAGCTGAGAAATCCAAGGCTTGTCGCATCATTTTTTCCTGATCAAGAAAGAATGCTTTTCTCTTTGCCAACTAAAGTTAACAAGCCTGACCATTGCATTAGAAAGTTCTGACTGACCAGTCTGGGTCTACTGCCAGTCACTCTGAATGGGCTTCCCTGATGGCTCAGTTGGTAAAGAGTCCACCTGCAACGCGGGAGACCTGGGTTTGATCCCTGGGTTGGGAAGATCCCCTGGAGAAGGGAAAGGCTACCCACTCTAGTATTCTGGCCTGGAGAATTCCATGGACAGTACAGTCCATAGGGTTGCAAAGAGTTGGACACCACTGAGCGACTTGCACTTTCACCGAATGCAGCAGTGAGAAGCATAAACACGGCCCCTGCCCTCACCGAGGGAAGAAACCACGTCTCATTATTTAAGCAGCACAGGCTCTGGAAGTTGCTGGGGTGCAGGGCGTCCTGAGCTGAGGCCTGGGGGGCGCGGGCCAGGAGAGGTCTCCCTGAAGAAGGGGCGCTCAGGCCGAGCCTCACGGCTGGGTGGGCAGAGAGGAAGGGGACTGGCCCGGGGGCTCCCAGGCCCGAGTCAGGGTCAGTGCTCCGCGGGGACACCAGCGTTCCCATAAGGGGACATGGGGGTGAAAAGACAGGGGATGGTGACCCCAAAGCTGGGCCGGCCTGGGGAGGGGAGGGCGCCGGCGGGGGGGGGGGGGGGGTTCTGAAGGCTGAGGCCTCCATCGTCAGGGAAACCAGAACAGTGGGGTTTTACTTCCTGCGCCTTCCAGGGGTGAGAGGGGCTGACGGGGTCCTCTCAGTTTCAGGAACGAGAGGACTAGTGTTAGTCCCTCACCCGTGTCAGGGTAGCACGGATGCCAGCCCTCTGTCAGCAGGTTAATGGAAGGAGTCAGACGTAAGTGGTGAAATCTACTGAAGTGCAGCTCCCCCAATACCCATGTCTGACTCTGGGGAACAATTTTGAACATGGATTCCAAGATGCACAAAACACTCTGCGAAAACCCAAAGAAAAGCACTTGTCAGCTACAGTCCTCAGATTGCAGCCAAGTCCCAAACCTGCGTTTGGGAGCATCAGCCTTCTGAGACGTTCTGAGCTTGCCCTGCAAGACCAGAGACCAAGATTAAACCTGGAACAAGCATGTGTTTCTTGGAACATGTTAAAATAAGAAAATCATGTGTATTCTTTTTTGTTAATCTGTAATGCTTCAACCTAATTCAAAGCAAATATATGAAAACCCAGAGCCCGTGTGTAAGGGAAAGTTCATCTCAAGGAGTCTTAGAGATGATCCTATATTTAAGCCAGTGGCCAGGGAGAGGATTCTTGAGACCCTTGTAGGACTGGTGAGTGTGGAGCAGGCAGCCACCAGTCCTCACCTTCCGAGGACAGCGCTGTTTCATGCTGTGGTCCCCAGGTGATCATCAGTATCACTCTTTCAGTCTGAAATGCATCCGAGTTTGGACAGCAAAATACGCCTTGATCTAGAGCTGGGAATCGATCTTGGGGATCTTCAAGCAACGGTTGCTTGGGGGCGACTGCAGAGAGAGCGGGGGCGGGGGGGGAGCCAGGCGGGCACATGCCGGCCGGCTGCCCTCTGTCCCCCTGAGCAGTCCCCGTCACAGGGGCCAGCCCAGGCCGAGGGTCTGTGGGCGGCGCTGAGGGCTCACAGCCCCAGAGGAGCCCGCGCGCCCCGTCCCAAGTGGGAAGCAGTAGAAAGTCTGGCACACGTGTGGATGCAGCTCCTGGGTCCTGTGTCCCCTCAGGCCAGCACCACAGGCTCTGAGCCCTAGGCTCCCAGATTGTGGCCTTTCTGAGCCACGGCCTGGCCCAGCCTGCATGCATGGAATGGAGCAGAGAGAGCCAGGCCTGCCAGTGTAGGCTCCTGAGAGAGGGAGGCAGGGGAGACCCAAGTCCCCGAGATTCAGGAAGGGGCGTGGGGCCCGGAGACCGCTCCTCATGCGGAGCACCGCACTCTCCCGGGAGTAGGCTTAGGGAGCAGTGGACCCATCCACTTTTGGACGCTGACTTGGGATCCTCTGCCCATGGCCTCCCCTGTCCCTGTTTCCCGGGGACCCGGCCCAGCAGGGCTGCACCCGAGCTCAGTCCCAGGCCACTGCACCCACAGCAGAACGAGGAGGGTGCTTCCTCGGCCCAGAACCCTCCAGGTGGCCATTCTGAGGGCTCCCTCAAGCCCTGCCATGCTCAGAGCCACGGACTCGCAGCCCTCGTGGGGAACGGGACCGTGGGTGCAGCTTCACATGCACACGCATGTGCATGCAGGGACGCCTGTGCCTGCGGCCCAGGCTCGGGGGTGGCAGTGCGTTTCCAGGGTGCCCTGTGCACATGTAACATCCAGCCTTGAGCGCATGCAGATTCAGTGTTCCTGGGCCCATGCGGTTTGAGCACCGGCCACTCGGGGCCGCGTGGAAAGGGGATGCTCTTCTCCCGAGGCCCCTCCCCAGGTGCCTCTTCCAGCGAATCCCAGGCTGGGCCTTTCCCAGAAGGCAGTCTAGCCCCCCATCCTCAGGAGCCCCTGCTCAGCTCTGGGGCCCAGCCCTGAGACCCAGGTGGCCCACGGGACCCCTGAACTGACCCCGAGTGCCAGGGTGCACACTGTCAGTGCCCCATCTTTAAGCCCAGAGGCACCTGGTCTGGCCTGCAGAGCCGCTGTCCAGGCGCCGGTCCCGGCCGAGTCCCCCTTCCCGGGCTCTCCTCCCCGGAGCGTGCCCTCAACCTCCGCCGGGCTCCCGCCTGGGGAAGAGCTAATCATCAGTGAGCGATGACCACCTCGACCCCGGAGGAGGGGACAAGCCGCGCCCTCTCTGCGGGAGCAGACCACCCCCTGGGGCCCAGGCAGTGACGGATCGGTTCTCCCGCTGTGCCCTGATGCTGGATGCAGGCCGGGCCCGTATCTTCTCTGGGGCACTGCGGGCTGCGGTCCTCAAACACAGCTCTCAGTCTTCATTTTCACCGTGAAGCTTCACGTCGTGTATAACCCAGACACGACTGTCGACTCTGTGATTCTCGGTCGCTGGCATTTTCCAATCCTGCCTCCATGAATGTGCACTCCACCAAGCTTTAAGGGGCAGCAGCGTTTTCGTCTGATCTGTTGTTTTCAGCCACCTCTGCTGTGGCGGAGTCCCCACCATTGGGACTCTCTGGCTCAGACCCTGTCCCACTCAGGGGGTGCCCGGGGTCCACTCCCCCATCACTGGACACTCAGACACAGCTGGTTCTTCCACAGAATTACTTCCTCAAGTTGAATTTCCACGAGTGACTTGAGCCTGCCCACAGGTATAACCGTTTTCCAACTTGCTTTTGGAAGAGGTTTTTAACAACGTACAACTAAAGGGAGCTTGTTTTACAAAAACTACAACCTTGCCAGGAATTAAATTAGCTTTTGCTGACTTTTTTAGTAGCTAAAAAAAAAAAAAATAACAAAACAGATAAACTCAAAGCTCTCTGCATTTCTTTGATGATTAGTGAAGTTTTTGTTTCCCTTAAACTTCATGTGGGCTTCCCTGGTGGCTCAGAGGGTAAAGTGTCTGCCTGCAATGTGGGAGACCCGGGTTCAATCCCTGAATCAGGAACATCCCCTGGAGAAGGAAATGGCAACCCACTCCAGTGTTCTTGCCTGGAGAACCCCATGGACAGAGGAGCCTGGTGGGCTACAGTCCACAGGGTCACAAAGAGTCAGACACAACTGAGCAACTTCACTTTCTTTCAAACTTCACGCATTTTTAAAAGAGCCCATGGCTACACCTTCATGCACTTTCTGTAGATTCTGCTGCTTCAAAGCAAAGAATTCTAATGAGGCCCGAGGGGTGGAGAGAATTAAGATTCCATGCACAGGCAATGGCACCCCACTCCAGTACTCTTGCCTGGAAAATCCCATGGACGGAGGAGCCTGGTAGGCTGCAATCCATGGGGTCGCTGGGAGTCAGACACGACTGAGCAACTTCACTTTCACTTTTCACTTCCATGCGTTGGAGAAGGAAATGGCAACCCACTCTAGTATTCTTGCCTGGAGAATCCCAGGGATGCGGAGCCTGGCGGGCTGCCGTCTGTGGGGTTGCACAGAGTCGCACACGACTGAAGCGACTTAGCAGCAGCAGCAGCACAACCTGTAGCCGACTTCCCAGGGTCGGTCGGCAAACTGAAAGCTCTCCCAGCCCAGAGACAGGAAGAGCTGGAGTCGGGAGCAAAGACGTCACCTCCAGGGAGAGAGAAGGAAGTGGGGCACGTCCCTCCTTCCCTGGGTGTGGGCGTCTGTGTTGCCACCTGCTTCCCACCTGCCCACAGCTCTCATGGGCTCCCAGGTCCCGCCAGCGTGGTCCCTGTTCCTCGTCACCTGCCCCCAGATATAAGCTCTCCCTGTACAGCCATTCAGTCCCAGAGGCCATACTTCTGGTGCACATGGTGGGGCTCTCCCCCAGGAATGGCTCAGGCTTGCAGCCTTTCCTTTTTCCAGCTTTACAGAGATACAGTTGACATAAGACACGGGGAAAGTTGAAGGTGTGGGACGTGATGACTCGACACCCTTATACGCTGCCGACAATTACCACTGTGTCTTCTGCAGGAAGCTCCAGCCAGAGCCGGTGGGGACACTGGTGCCTGAACACAAACCATCGGGGACTTCTGGGCGGAGGGGAGAGAGACCAAAGAGGAGGGGCCACCTGAAGGTTAAGAGAGACTTAAACACATCAACCAATTCCAATGTGTGGGACTTACCGGGATCCCGACTCAAACAGACATGCTACCAAAAGATTATGATACTTTTGGTACAATGAGAAATTTGAACATTTACTGGATATATAGTCAAAGATATGGCTTTTCCAATATTCATATACAGATGTGACCATAAAGAAGGCTGAGCCCTAAAGATTTGATGCTTTCAAATTATGGTGCTGGAGAAGACTCTTGAGAATCCCCTAGACATCAAGGAGATCAAACCAGTTAGTCTTAAAGGAAATCAACCCTGAACACTCATTGGAAGGACTGATGCTGAAGCTGAAGCGCCAATCTTTTGGCCACCTGAAGCAAAGAGCCAATTTACTGATAAAGAAAACTTTGTTTCTCTTGGAGAAACCAAATCTCAACCAAAGAGAAGAGAGAAGCTACTTGGAGAGTTTATTGATATTTCTGGCACAAGCTTCCACCTTCCCCACTGTTGCTCCAGCAGAAACCTGACCTATCTCCTGATAACCAACCGGAAAACTCCCCCCCGCCCAGGGATTGCTCCTCACCCGGAACCTCGGCCTGTGGCCCCAGGTCCTCTCTGCAGGATGTGGATTTTCTTTCCCCGGCCAGATCCCTTACAGAGTTATTCAGCGTGGCTTTTCACCACGCACATTTCTGCTGTAAATTGTGTTTCCATTTTCCTGCCGGCATCTCTCTCACCATGAGGTCGCCACGTCACCTGCTTGTGACATTTCCTTCACGTGTCTCCTGCTTTCCCTCCATCTCTCAGGAGTTGAGTTTCCAGTAAGAGGAAGTTTCCTTCTGATTCAGTAAATTGATATA